GGCAAGATGGATGGATGGCATCCTTGAAGTGACTGGACTGACCTTGAAGGAGCTGGGGGTGGTGACGGCCGACAGGGAGCTCTGGCGTGGGCTGGTGCATGAGGTCACGAAGAGTCAAAGATGACTGAATGAATGAACAACAATAAACCATCCCAGGGCTACATTGCAATGCTCATGTCCCCATAACCAGGCAATGGAATGCATTATTGATCTGTGTTTGGCTGCAGAAGAGATGGGCATGATGAAGCCCATACTCAAAGTGAAGTCCTAAAGCCCTCCACCATTTAGACCAGTAGTTTTCAACCTTCCTAATACCGCAACCCCTTAATACAGTTCCTCATGTTGTGGTGACCCCCAATCATAACATTATTTTAGTTGCTACTTCATAACTGAAATTTTGCTACTGTTGTGAATTGTAACGTAAATATCTGATATGAAGGGTGTATTTTCATTCATTGGACCAAATTTGGCATAAATGCCTAACACGCCCAAATTTGAATGCTGGTGGGCTTGGGGAGGGGATTGGTTTTGTCATTTGGGAGTTGTATTGCTGGGATTTATAGTTCACTTACAATCAAAGAGTATTTTGAATTCCACCAACAATAAAATTGAACCAAACTTGGCACACAGAACTCCCATCACCAACAGAAAATACTGTGACCTTGACCTTGGATTTTGGAGTTGTAGTTCACCTACATCCAGAGAGCACTGCAGACTCAAACAATGATGGATCTGGACCAAATTTGGCACAAATACTCAATATGCCCCCAAATGTGAACACTGGTGGAGTTTGGAGGAAATAATACCTTGACATTTTGGAGTTGTATTTGCTGGGATTTATAGTTCACCTGCAATCAAAGAGCATTCTGAACTCCATCAATGATGGAATTGAACCAAACTTGGCACACAGAACCCCCATGACTAACAGAAAATACTGGAAGGGGTTGGTGGGCATTGACTTTGTGTTTTGGAGTTGTAGTTCACCTACATCTAGAGGGCACTGTGGACTCAAACAATGATGTATCTGGACCAAACTTGGCACAAATGCTCAGTATGCCCAAATGTGAACACTGGTGGAGTTTGGGGAAAATAGACCTTGACATTTGGGAGTTGTAGTTGCTGGGATTTATAGTTCTGAACCCCATCAAAGCATTCTGAACCCCATCAAAGATAGAATTGGACCAAATTTCCCACACAGAACCCTCATGACCAACAGAAAATACTGTGTTTTCTGATGGTCTTTTGCGACACCTCTGACACCCCCCCTCACGACCCCCCAAAAGGGTCCTGACTTCCAGGTTGAGAAATGCTGATTTAGACAAATCAGTGCAATTTTGAAGCAGCTTTTGGGACCTCAACCTCAACCTTCCAGATGTGTAAAAATGTGCAAAAATGTTTTCCACCTACAAACACAATTTTCTTTTCTACACAACGTCTCTTCCTGACACTTGGAGAGCAACTGCAGAGGTAAACAGCGATGGGTTTTGCATGGCCCAGTAGGAGGAAAGATGATGGGTAAAGTGGCCACAGACTCCAATACCATATCCACACACAGAATAAGGACATCAGCTGCTGAGATTTCAGAAGTTTTTCCAAAGATTTCAATGGATGATGCAATGGTTTGGATCCAACTGTGAATAAAGCTTGATTAGAATTACCAGTCCAGTGTTGTCCCCAACCCTGAGGTCTTCAAACATCTTAGACTGAGGCATGATGTTCTGGTGGGCCACTAAATGTAATGCATTAAGGCACAATCACAACCATTTGTTGTTCAAACACATAAAAACAGAGAAATGACGTATTTCCCCTTTCTGAAATCTCAGCTAAAAGGGATGTTCCCAAAACAAGGGGAAATGAAAGGATTTAATTCCATCTCACTGATTTAGGAAGATGGGATAGGAATGCAAGCAACACTCATGGTTTCATTTGCATTGACAAAATATCTCATCTCCAGGCATTTCATAGGTCCTCTGGGTGATTCCAGAGCATGCTTCCAACAGGAGTTGACCATTTAGTTGCACTGGAGAACACAGGACACCTCTCTCAGCATTTCCAAGGCCTTTCTTCCACACAGAAGGTAGATACAGAGCAGATTGGATGGTGACCCCTAGTGCAATGATGATTGGGATGAAATGTGGAAGCTCTGCATATTGTGGCCACAAAGCATTAATACTTGGAAACTGTCACCAGATGTTGCTCTTCTAGTATTTGCACACAGTGCTTTCCTGTTACTGTATTGGAGCCATCCAAAACTGGAGATGTTGCATCATGGTTTCCTGCTGGGAGGTGAGCCACAAAAACTGAAGACCTAGGCCCCTTCTACACTGTCCAATAAAATCCAAATAATCTGTTTTGAACTGGATTACGTGGCAGTGTAGACACACACAAACACACACACACACACACACACACACATATATATATATACATACACACATCACTTTTATCCCGCACATTTCAGCCCGAAGGCGACTCAGGGTGGCATACAGATCGGCAACAAATTACATGCCATATATGAATACATATACCGATTAAAAGCAAATAAATCATAGAATCATAGAATCATAGAATCATAGAATCAAAGAGTTGGAAGAGACCTCATGGGCCATCCAGTCCAACCCCCTGCCAAGAAGCAGGAATATTGCATTCAAATCACCCCTGACAGGTGGCCATCCAGCCTCTGCTTAAAAGCTTCCAAAGAAGGAGCCTCCACCACACTCCGGGGCAGAGAGTTCCACTGCTGAACGGCTCTCACAGTCAGGAAGTTCTTCCTCATGTTCAGATGGAATCTCCTCTCTTGTAGTTTGAAGCCATTGTTCCGCGTCCTAGTCTCCAGGGCAGCAGAAAACAAGCTTGCTCCCTCCTCCCTGTGGCGTCCTCTCACATATTTATACATGGCTATCATGTCTCCTCTCAGCCTTCTCTTCTTCAGGCTAAACATGCCCAGCTCCTTAAGCCGCTCCTCATAGGGCTTGTTCTCCAGACCCTTGATCATTTTAGTCGCCCTCCTCTGGACACATTCCAGCTTGTCAATATCTCTCTTGAATTGTGGTGCCCAGAATTGGACACAATATTCCATATGTGGTCTAACCAAAGCAGAATAGAGGGTAGCATTACTTCCTTAGATCTAGACACTATTCCTATTGATGCAGGCCAAAATCCCATTGGCTTTTTTTGCCGCCACATCACATTGTTGGCTCATGTTTAACTTGTTGTCCACGAGGACTCCAAGATCTTTTTCACACGTACTGCTCTCGAGCCAGGCGTCCCCCATTCTGTATCTTTGCATTTCATTTTTTCTGCCAAAGTGGAGTATCTTGCATTTGTCACTGTTGAACTTCATTTTGTTAGTTTTGGCCCATCTCTCTAATCTGTCAAGATCTTTGAATCCTGCTCCTGTCCTCTGGACTATTGGCTATCCCTCCCAATTTGGTGTCGTCTGCAAACTTGATGATCCATGCCTTCTAGCCCTTCATCTAAGTCATTAATAAAGATGTTGAACAGGACCGGGCCCAGGACGGAACCCTGTGGCACTCCACTTGTCACTTCTTTCCAAGATGAAGAGGAAGCATTAGTGAGCACTCTCTGTGTTCGTCCACTTAACCAATTACAGATCCACCTCACCGTAGTTTTGCCTAGCCCACATTGGACTAGTTTCCTTGCCAGAAGGTCATGGGGGACCTTGTCGAAGGCCTTACTGAAATCCAGGTACGCTACATCCACGGCATTCCCCGCATCTACGTGTAATATGTGTAAAAACCATAAAAGCAATAAAAACAATAAAAAATATAAAACTATGTCTTTGTGTTCAGTTCGTCATCTGTTTACATCTTCTTAGCCATTCCTAGTTCATATTGCAATTTGAGTTTTTCTGGTCATGCTGAAGTTCCAAATGCTTGTTCAAAGAGCCAGGTTTTCACGCTTTTTGGACAGGTCAGGGAGGGGGCCGATCTAATATCCCTAAGCAGTTGGCGGGGACGAGGGACAGGGCCTTCTCGGTGGTGGCCCCTCGGCTATGGAATGCCCTACCTGTAGACATCAGACAGGCCCCTTCGCTGCTGGCGTTTCGGAAGAAGGTTAAGACCTGGCTCTATGAACAAGCGTTTGGCTAATCAGTGCAACTGAATATAGGAGGATGGTAAAATTTGATCTCAGGAATGGCACAAGGATTACGAGAACGGATCTGATTTCATATTGAGGCGTTATGAATTGTTAATGATTGTTGATTTTGCTGCTGTATATGATGTGTTTTAATTGTTTAGGATATTGTTGTGATAGTATTGATGTTATTGTGATAATTTTCATTGTGTAAACCGCATTGAGTCGCCTTATCAGGCTGAAAAATGCGGTATAGAAATGAAGCAAATAAATAAATAAATAAATAAATAAGCAGGGAGTTCCATAGCCGAGGGGCCACCACAGAAAAGGCTCTGTCTCTCATCCCCGCCAGATGTGCCTGTGAGGCAGGCAGGATTGAGAGCAGTGCCTCCTGTTATCAAAGCAGACAGGGCTGATCTAATATCCCTAAGCAGGGAGTTCCACAGCCGGGGGGCCACCACAGAGAAGGCCCTGTCTCTCGTCCCTGCCAGATGTGCCTGTGAGGCAGGCAGGATTGAGAGCAGTGCCTCCTGTTATCAAAGCAGACAACCCACATTACTGCTTTGAACTGGATTATATGGGTATACACTCCCATATAATCCAGTTTAAAGCACATAATCTGGGTGTTATATGGCAGTGTAGTAGGAGCAAAAGAGTCCTTGGAAGAGGTGGGTTTGGGTTGTGGAACATAGAGGAGGGGAAGGCCAAACTCCACATCAGTCACAAAATAAATATGCAGTTCCATGTTGAACTTATGGATGCATTGCTAACTGGACCCTGCTATAATAGAGAAGCCAGATCAGTTGTGTTTTATGTGGGATGGTAATTTGCATTTCTCGGTCACAATCAGAGTGTTACACCCCTGATTCACAAACCTCCCCACCTGCCTGCCATCATCTTACCTGGGAGCCCTCTGTTCCTGGCTGCTGGAGGAGTTTGACGGTTCTCCCACCGGCTGACCTCTGGCTTCTCCCGTCGTGCCACGTCAGGCTGCTGCCCGAGTTCCTCTGCAGGCGGTAGTTGAGGTTCTCGGCTGACACAGTGTGCTCCAGGAGGTTCTGGCAGAAGTTGAAGTGGGCAGCGGCAGCTGTTGGGCAGAAAAGGAGCAGATTTAGTGCTAAATTGAGGCATCAAGGAATGTGAGCCATCTTCTATTTATTTATGTATGTATGTATTTATTTATTTATTATTTATTTACTTTACTTATATACCGCTGTTCTCAGCCCGAAGGCGACTCACAGCGGTTCACAACAAATAAGAACAGCAAAAATTCAATGCTACAGTATAAAAACAGTTAACAACCTAACATATTACATAATTAATAAACAATTACTACAATAACCATTCACTATTCACTATCGTCTCATCATCAAAAACATGATCCAGATTCGTCATCCATTATTCCGTTCCAATGTTCATTAACCAATCATTGCACTAATTATTCGAACGCCTGCTCAAACAGCCAGGTCTTCACTTTTTTGCGGAATACCATTAGAGATGGTGCTAGTCTAATGTCCGTAGGAGGGTGTTCCACAGCCGAGGAGCCACCACCGAGAAGGCCCTATCTCTTGTCCCCGCCAGCCGTGCTTGAGAAGCAGGCGGGATCGAGAGCAGGGTCTCCCCAGAAGATCTCAAAGTCCTGGTGGGTTCATAGGCAGAGATGCGGTCGGATCGGTAGCTTGGGCCAGAACCGTTTAGGGCTTTACAGGCCAATGCCAGCACTTTGAATTGAGCCCGGTAGCAAATCGGTAGCCAGTGGAGTTGGTGCAACAGGGGGGTTGTATGCTCCCTGCGCTCCACTCCTGTTAAAATCATGGCTGCCGAGCGCTGGACTAGTTGGAGCTTCCAAGCCGTCTTCAAAGGCAACCCCACGTAGAGAGCGTTGCAGTAGTCTAAACGGGATGTAACCAGAGCATGGACTACCGTGGCCAAGTCAGACTTCCCAAGGTACGGGCGCAGCTGGCGCACAAGCTTTAGCTGTGCAAATGCTCCCTTGGTCACCAATACAGGCTGTACCCTATGCCCTGTTCAGCCTTGCGACTGACCAGGAGTACCTCTGTCTTGTCTGGATTCAATTTCAATTTGTTCGCCCTCATCCAGACCATCACAGCAGCCAGGTTCAGGACCTCGACAGCCTCCTTAGTAGCAGGTGGAAAGGAGTGACAGAGTTGGACATCAACTACCGGCTGTTAGGAATTGTGGGAGTTGAAGTCCAAAACACCTGGTGGGCCAAAGTTTGCTCATGCCTGCTCTAACCTCTAACTACAAGTATCATTTAAAATGGAATTTTCTTGTGGGCATTGGCATTTCTGATGTTCTCTGATATGTATCAGCCACTTTTGATTTTCACTGGGCACTTCTGATGTGCCTCATGTGCTTCTGATGCACATTGGGCACTCTTGGGACATTCTGTCACTGAAGCTAATATCTGAAAACACTGGGACTGCCGCGATGTGCAATGATACCCATAATCACTCCACTGGCTCTCATTGTGAAAAAGGAGTCCATACGCTGAAATGTCACGACAGCCCTTAGGTGAATACAGACACTGTGAAAGGACTCAATTCTATTTTTACACATGTAAGTCCATTTACAGAGGTGTAATTCCCATACTGAATTCCAGACCTGGCACTTAAACCAAACTGCTGTCAGCGCAGTTTTTATTCCAGGTGGGTGCTCTTCCTGCCTTTTGCTTTTACCTGCATTTAAATTGAGGTGATGACTTTGGCTTGATGTGCTTTGTCATTAACACAGATAGATTCTTTGTTTTAAACTGCTTTGTTGTTAAATATTAGTATAGTAAGCTGATTTGATTAGTCAGCATTGGGTACTGGCTTGGCTATTGGACTACAACTCTGCAGACCAGGGTTTGATTCCCTACTCAGACAAAGAAACCCAAAGGGTGATTATTATTATTATTATTATTATTATTATTATTATTATTATTATTATTCAAAACACAACAAGATGAGTGCACAGCAAACAAGATCACTCTGCTGGCTGCTGTATTGGATCACATGTCGGACACTTCTAAAGTGTCTAGGACTGTGTGATGTATCGGTGAATAATGTGTGCAGATCCCAGTAAGGTGGCCTTCTGCAGCTGGCAGATGGTAATTTTGTCTGTGCTGATTGTGTTTAAGTGTGAGCCAAGGACTTTAGGCACTGCACCCAGTGTGCCGATCACCACTGGGACCACCCTGACTGGTTGCTGCCTGGGGGATCCTTTGGTGGCCCTGATTGATTCTTGTCTTTGAGTGTTGGTCTTTATTTACTGTCCTGATTTCAGACTACACAGAGAAGCCATTAAAATCCACAAGCATATGGACAATTTCAACAGAAAGGAGGAACCCTATCAGCCCACCAGGACCCTAAGATCTTCTGGGGAGGCCCTGCTCTCTATCCCGCCTGCTTCACAGGTGCGGCTGGCGGGGACGAGAGACAGGGCCTTTTCTGTGGTGGCCCCTCGGCTATGGAACGCCCTTCCCATGGAGGTAAGATCAGCCCCCTTGCTGATGGTGTTCCGAAAAAGATTAAAAACCTGGATGTTCGAACAGGCATTTGGTTAATTCGGTGCAATGAATTTGATGATTAAAGGATTGGTAATATGGACGATGAAACTGGATCACGATTTTAGTCAGGAGATGCATTGGATTGTTATTGATGGGCCAATATTGTGTATGATGTTTTTATGGTTTTAAATTGAATACTGTTGACTGTTGTATTTTGTTGTAAACCGCGTTGAGTCGCCAGCTAGGCTGAGAAACAGCGGTATACAAGTATAGAAATAAATAAATAAACCCATGAAAATGAACAAAATCTGGCTACCAGTATTTTAAAAAACCCTTTAAAATCAGGACAGAAAATAAAGAACAACACTCAGAAAACAAGGGAATTCCAGACAGGAAACAATGGGGGCCAGCTAACACCTCCCAACAAAGGATCCCCCAGTAAGAATTTACTTAGAAAAAGAGTCTCCCAAGCAGGAAGCAGCCAGACTTTGAAACTGCATGGCCATTCAATGCTAATCAAGATGGCCAATTGTAACATTCACACTTGCCTCAAGTGGACAAGATTTCTTTCTCCCACCCAGGACATTCTGCAATATAAACCCCACTTGCTTAGTTTCCAACAGACCTCACAACCTCTGAGGGTGCCTGCCATAGATGTGGGTGAAACATCAGGAGAGAATGCTTCTGGAACATGGCCATACAGCCCGGAAAATGCACAGCAACCCAGTGATTCTGGCCATGAAAGCCTTTGACAACACAGTTATGAGAGTAGTTTCAACGAAGGGATGTATAAACCACTATGCAAAAGTGACGCACCGCGCATAATCTTCATGGCCTGACCGGGGCAAAAGACTGCCTCGAACACTGGTAAACCAGTACTTGCTGAAAAGAAGCTTTTTGCTGATGCTCGCTCACTAGGGCTGCCAATTTCCCTCTGGCAATTGACAGGCAGTGCAAGGCAATGTCATTTCCCAGCAATTAAAAGATTACAAACTGCCAAGCGAGGCAAGGCTGTTTATTAAGGAATCTTCCACTGGCAGAATTCTTACAAGGAACTGGTTGGCCACCGGGTAAATTAAGATAATAATAATAATAAGAAATGCATTCATTTCTCATCCAATTTACCTACAGGGTACAACACAGATTAAGATATAAAACCATTTAAAACATATGGATTAAAATCTCAAACGTAAGGTTAAAACACAAATCATTATACATTTATGTCATCCACATCTAAAAGTTAAAATGTCAGTTTGAAAGTCATAGTTTACAATTGTAAACTATGTTAGAAAAGTGATTTTCCCAAAAGGGTTTTAAGGCCAAGAAGGGATTTGAACCCTGGTCTCCAGAGTTGTAATCCAGCACTTAAACCAGTGGTCCTCAAACTAAGGCCCGAGGGCCGGATATGGCCCTCCAAGGACATTTACCCGGCCCTCTCTAAGGGTCAATCTAATCATAGAATCATAGAGTTGGAAGAGACCTCATGGGCCATCCAGTCCAACCCTCTGCCAAGAAGCAGGAAAATCACATTCAAAGCACCCCCGACAGATGGCCATCCAGCCTCTGTTTAAAGGCCTCCAAAGAAGGAGCCTTCACCACACTCTGGGGCAGAGAGTTCCACTGATGAACAGCTCTCACAGTCAGGAAGTTCTTCCTAATGTTCACATGGAATCTCCTTTTTTGTAGTTTGAAGCCATTGTTCCACGTCTTAGTCTCCAGGGAAGCAGAAAACAAGCTTGTTCCCTCCTCCCTATGACTTCATCTCACGTATTTATACATGACTACTATCATGTCTCCTCTCAGCCTTCTCTTCTTCGGGCTAAACATGCCCAGCTCTTTAAGCCATTCTTCATTTATTTATTATTTCATTATTTATTACTGCGCTTGTATACCGCCGTTTCTCAGCCTACATTGGCGACTCAACGCGGTTTACAACACTACAATAATCAACAATATTCAAGATAAAAAGCATAAAAACACATACATAATATACAATATTGGGCCACCAATATCGAACCAATGCATCTCTTAGTTAAAAACGCAGTCCCATTTCATCGTCTGTGATTACCAGTCCTTGGTCGTCAGGGGTTGTTCTCCAGACCCTTGATCATTTTAGTCTGTCTCCTCCTCTGGACACATTCCAGTTTAGAGTCAACATCTCCCTTCAATTGCAATGCCCAGAAGTGGACACAGTGCGATTCCAGGTGTGGTTTGACCAAGGCCGAATAGAGCATGGGTAGCATGACTTCCCTGGATCTAGATACTAGACTGCTATTGATGCAGGCCAAAATCCCATTGGCTTTTTAAGCCACCATATGACATTGTTGGCTCATGAAATCCCACTGGAAGATCTCAGCCTCTGTGATCTATTTTTTTTTTAAAAAAATTCTATTGTACTTGTCTCGGTGTACGAAATGCCTTACAGTTCTTATCTCATTTTGCTGTTCCAGACTGTGAGATCATTATTTTGAAATTCTTGCAGGGAGACAAACAACAAGCCACTTCCTGGTGAAAAACCATCTAATCACAAAAATCAGCTGGCATTTAAATAATACTTCATGGCAGATACACTCCCT